GGTAGAGTAAGGATAAGATAGCTATTGGGTTTACAAGGCCTTTTCTAATGGGTGAGGGGTAAGAAGAGAGCTGATTCTGGTTCCTTGAATCTTTTCCTTCTTTCCTGTTTTTAATGGTTTCCAGATGCCAGAAGGATAGTTCAGAAAAGATGAGGAAATCAGAGGAATCCTGTGAAAAGCAGTGATGCTTCAAATTATCTGAGATTTGTTCATCCATCCATCCATCCATCCATTCAATAAACTCAATTCAAATACTGGATGCCTACTATGTCTCTGCTGTGTGTTAAGCGCTGTGGAAACACTGATGCATAAAGAGAAACAGCACGCGAGAGAGAGAGATAAGATATATATTTATATCCTTACAGTACAGCACTAGTGTGCCACAGTGGAGAGTGTAGGTGTAGGAGAGCCATGGCAGCCTTGGGGAAGGAGTGACCAAATATACCTGAGGAGTGGAGTTGAGGAAGCATCATGGTGGAAAAGAAGCTGGGATTCTTCTTCAAGAGTCCACAACAAAAGCAGCCAGACAATGAAAACTTTACTTCACAAAGATACTTTAAGTGGGTGTTGTCTCAGAAGTCCAACCAACAAACCCTTATCTTCCTTAGCCTCCATTAATAGGCTCTAAAATCTCAAATTTTAAGGTTTAGGGATATAGATGTATGTGAATTAATACAAAAGTTCAAATGCCTTAGCATGAAAAAAAAATTGCTATCATTACATAGGCCTGGAATATTGTGAAACATCTTGTTAGATTCCAGAAACTGCACTAGGCATGGTTGTCTTATTTGTTTAAAAGAGGGGCAAAGGCTTGGTTATAGTTTCTTCAATGCATTTGAAATCTCTGAGATAACAATAGATTTGGCAGACTTTCCATATCTACTTGCACAATGAAATGTACTTTGGATTGAGGTTTTTCTCTTTAAAAATAACATACTGTTTTAATTTGGAAAAGGTCTATGTTAGTAAAGAAAACAAAATGAGATATGTTTTTTCCATTAAATTGTCACTTTAAGAATGTTATGTTACACTGAGAGATCTAATCAGAAATTCTTTTAAGCCAAGTATTTTGTTTTCCTCACATGAATAAATTTTACTTTTTGTCCTTAAGAAGAAAGGCCAAGAAAACTTGCCACTGATTAAGGAGACGGGACTCAAATACATTGCATTTTCTTAAATGAGTCTCTTGGATTTATGGGCTGGTTCCATTACAGAGCCGAGGAAGTGCATTGTGTCATTATCACCTGACTTTTGTTTCTTCACTTTGTAGAGAGTAAATTCAAAGCTGACTACGGAAAAGAAGCCAATGCAACAATTTCAAAAGTATTTCCAACACTTACTCTGGAGTGTAAACAAATATAAGCCGACAAAACATTAAAAGGCCATGTTTTGCAGTCTGGAGACCATAATTTACAGTGTTTGTGAGATTTTTCTGCTTCAAAGTTCAAAATGAAGAGTAGTCAATTTATGAACCTCATTTAATCCTTTGAATAACCCCATGAAGTAGGAACATCACTATTTTACAAGTGAGGAGAATGAGGCTCAGAAAGGTTTAAGAGAAGGTTGTAAATGAGGCCGCTAAGACTGAAGTGTAGGACTGACAGACTTCAAAAACCATTATTTTACAATTAAAACACATTACCTGTTGATATAGTTTGGTTGTTTGTCCCCTCTAAATCTCATGTTGAAATCTAATCCTCAATGTTGGAGGTGAGGCCTGCTGGGAAGTGATTGGATCATGGGATTTATATGGTTTGGTTGTTCCCCTTCCAAATTTCATCTTTAACGGTAGCTCCCATAATCCCTACGTGTTGTGGGAGGCACCTACTGGGAGGTACTTGAATCATGGGGATGGGTTTTCCTGTGCTGTTCTCATGACAGTGAATAAGTCACACGAGATCTGATGGTTTTATAAAGGACAGTTTCCCTGCACACACTCTCTTGCCTGCTGCCATGTAAGACATGCCTTTGTTCCTCCTTTGTGTTCTGTCATGATTGTGAGGCCTCCCTAGGCATGTGGAACTGTGAGTCCATTAAACCTCTTTCCTTTATAAATTACTCAGTCTTGGGTATGCCCTTCTAGCAGAATGAGAGCGGACTAATACAGGGCTGGATCCCTCATAGATGGCTTAGCGCCATCCCGATGGTAATGAGTCCATCCTCACTATAAGTTCACACAAGATCTGGTTGTTTAAAAAAGAGTGTGGCACTTCCTCTTCTCTCTCTCTTGCCCCCGCCCTTGCCATGTGACATGCTGGTTCCTCCTTGCCTTCTGCCATGATTGTAAGCTCCCTGAAACCCTCACCAGGAGTAGATGCCAGCACCATCCTTCTTGTAATGTCTGCAGAACCATGAGCCAATTAAATGTATCTTTTCTTTATAAACTACCCAGCCTCAGGTATTTCCTTATAGCAATGCAAGAATGGCCCAACACACCTGTGATTAAACCCTTTTCTGTTTGATTTGACTATTAAAATACTACATTCTGTTGATGCTGTGGATCTAGCTAAAAGACTGATGAATCTGGAGTTTGGTAAAGCTAACAAACGACAGATTTATTAAGTGACTTGACTATTGTTTGAATGAGGAGATAACAATACCAAGCATAAAAGAAAAACGTGGAACAAGCTCATCATCTCCTTGGAATCAAGTGTCAAGGCAGGGAAGGATAAAATATTAAACCAAAATGAGAAGACAAAACAAAAAAAAATAGATTTTATATGATTGGAGAAAATTTAATTCCAGATACATATGGCCCTTTAAGACAAGACACCAGTTAAATGTTTTGTTTCCTCTTTCTCCCAGAAGGGATGTTTGGGCCAGAAACAAAATATTTTTATAATTTTAAAGCACTTTACAGTATGTTTTCATATAGATTACTGCATTTGATCTTCACAACTACTCTATGAAGTGAGATTTATTAAAGTCCCCATTTAATGGATGGGACACTGAACTCAGAGCAGCTAAGCAACTTGCTGAAGCATGTAACCTGTGCTTAACACAGCACTCAATGCCAAGTTTTCTGATCTGAAGTCTTTCTGTCGGACAAAACACTGCTTCTCCTTACTGCTTTGAGCCAAAGAGAAACAACATAAAAAAGAGATGAGAAACAAAGAAAATCTTATAATTTATAAGACAAATTACACGTAAGCTGAAGGAGGTCTGCTCATCCCCAAAAGTACTTGCATTAAATTAGCATTCAAGCTCATTGCTTTTTTTTTTTTTTTTTTTTTTTTTTTGAGACTGATTCTCACTCTCTTACCAGGCTGGAGTACAGTGGCATAATCTTGGTTCACTGCAACCTCCACCTCCAGGGTTCAAGTGATTCTCCTGCCTTAACCTCCCGAGTAGCTGGGACCACAGGTATGCGCCACGACGCCCAGCTAATTTTTTGTATTTTTAGTAGAGACGGGGTTTCACCATGTTGGCCAGGCTGGTCTTGATCTGTTGACCTTGTGATCCACCTGCCTCAGCCTCCCAAAGGGCTGGGATTACAGGCGTGAGCCACCACGCCCAGACTGCAAGCTCATTTCTAAAATATAAGTCTTCTATCAGAGCCTACGTATACAATAATAGTTTAAAAATAAGGTATTTGGGGGCTAAAAATCAAGTGAGAAAAATACTTCATCTCATCTTATAATACACTTTACACTTTAAACCCCATTTTCTGCTTCTACGTTGTTTGGTATTTGATTAAATAAAGTTTTACACATGTAGAAGATTCTCAGTAAATGTGTCCACTGAGAATTTTTAGTATGAAAAAGCCTGCATATGAATTTTATTATTATATTTAGGCAAACATGGATGTATATTATCAACTTTTGCTGATTGTTTTAAAATGGTGGAATAAAAAAGAAAAATCATGCTTTTTTTTCCCATTTATTTATTTTATTGCATTTTAGGTTTTGGGGTACATGTGAAGAATATGCAAAATTGTTGCATAGGAACACACGTGGCAGTGTGATTTGCTGCCTTCCCTAGAAGAAAATCTAGGCAAAACCATTCAGGACATAGGTGTAGGCAAAGACTTCATGGCCAAAACACCAAAAGCATTGACAACAAAAGCCAAAATAGACAAATGGGACCTAATCAAACTCCACAGCTTCTGCACAGCAAAAGAAACAATCATTAGAGTGAATCGGCAACCAACAGATTGGGAAAAAATTTTTGCAGTTTACCCATCTGACAAAGGGCTGATATCCAGAATTTACAAAGAACTAAAACAGATTTACAAGAAAAAAACTAACAAGCCCATTCAAAAGTGGGCAAAGGATATGAACAGACACTTTACAAAAATCATGCTTTTAATGGTGTCTATCCTATTCCTACTGAGGATCTACTTTAGAGGACTATTACTTTGTGTGTTTTTACCTCCTTTTTTCTGCCCCAAGCATGGTTTACATGCTTCACCAAGTTGCTTATCTGCTCTAAACTCAGTGTCCCCATTGTGAAAGGAAAAGAAATCTTGGAGCCCCCAAATCGCTAAGTGAAAGGGAAAAGTCAAGCTGGGAACTGCTTAGGGCCAGCCTGCCTGCTCCCATTCTATTCAAAGTCACCCGGATGCTCACTGAGATAAATGCATATCTAACTGCCTGCTTTGGAAAGGCTAAACAGAAACTCAAAAGAATGTAACCATTTGTCTCTTATCTATTATCTAGAAGCCCCCCGCCCCTGCTTCCAGTCTTTCCACCTTTGCTTCAAGTTGTCCTGCTTTTAAAGACTGAACCACTATTCATCTAGCATATGTTGACTGACGTTTCATGTTTCCCTAGAATGTATAAAAACAAACTGCTCTGATCACCATGGGCACATGTCATCAAGACCTCCTGAGGTTTTGTGACAGGTGGGCGTCCTCAACCTTGGCAAAATAAACTTTCTAAATTAACTGAGACCTGTCTCAGATTTTCTGGTTTCACATTTCGGTAACCATGGAGGGATTCTGAGTGGAGATGCCCCTGACCTTTAACAAATGTCCTATCAGTGCTTGGTACCAGCGTGAGCTAACTTTATGGCTCAAACCAATAGGACAATTTGCTGAGGTCTGAGAGCAACCCCTCCAGAGAATCCCTGATCTCTCAAAATTTGGTCAAGACCTAAAGTTTATTTTGCTGTACAACTCATTTTTTTTTTTTTTTTTTGGAGTTTTACTTGTTTCCAACAAGGAAGGCAAGACTTCCTGTTTCCATAATGATAGAAACAGGTAAATCCTTTATGGAGTTTGAGCTCACTTCCAACAGGGAAGATGGAATTTTTTGTTTGTTTTTTCCTCCTTCTAGAATGGTAGAGAGCAGTCTATAGTCGGAGACCCATCCCTAGGTAACAGAATTGGGGTTTGTCTTGGCTAAAGTTAAGACTAACAACCAGCTGGTCTTAATTTCTCATTACCATTAGAGTGCTCAGTAATCACCTAAGTTGTGCGATTGTTTTTGTTTCTCTTAACCAGTTTTTTTTTTGTTGTTTATTTCCATTTCTTTTTCCCATTGGGTTTCACCAGCTTTATTCCATTGATCAAATACAAAGGAAAGTTCCAAGTTATGGGGAACAAGGCCTTTAAGGTGGCTAAATTTCCACACATACACACACAAAAGGGGTGTGATGGGGGGAGAAAAAACAAAAACAAAAGAAAAAAATAGATTTTTTTATTTTGACTACTTAAGGGGCTTTATTTACATAACAAGGCCACCTTTTTGCTAGCCAGGCCAAACTGAAAGAGCAATGGCTGTCACCCCAAGATGGAAAAGTCCTTGCTATTTTTATTTTATTATTTATTTTTTTACCACGACAGCCTGGGTTTGGTTCCTAACTCAAGGCCTTTCTGGTTTGATACTTGGTACTTCTAAAATAGCAGAAATTTGTCCTAGCTAAAATATGGTAATGAAATTTGAAAGGGTTTTTTTTTAAAGGAGCTCAATGGTTAAAAGTCAGCTTAATAAAAAGGATAACATCCACGTGTGTGTACGTGCATGTGTGTGTGTTTGCATTTAAAAGGCCTTCATGTTTTTGTTTGTTGTTTGTTTTTCTCTCCTAGGACCTTCTCTCTTTTTTTGAGCAAAAGTTTTTTTCCTTCTCAGTTTACTGAATTATGTTTTCACCTGATTTTTTAAATTAAAATAGTTATTGCAACAGAGGCTACTGTTTTTAAGGAGGAGTGTAGTTTAGATACTTAGAAATGTCTTTGTTTAAAAAAATTTTAAGTGCACTGGAAAAGTATCACATGGACTAGCCTGATAATTCTCCCTTTTTGGAGACTCAGGATTCAGTGTGAGCTCTGCCCAGAGCTTAGAGATCCAGCTAAAAAAAAGAAAAAAAGGTAGTCCCTATCTAAATACAATTGGTCTCCTTATACCTATAATAAATTTCTGTAATTTTATGTTTGATTTGGCATTCATCCTTAATCTCCCTCTAGCACCTACAAACTTTTTCTCTCTGTACCTTGAGATGTAAATTTTGCTATCTGATTTTTCATCTAAGAGTTGTTTGTTTTAATAAGCAAATTTAAGGCTATTTAGCTGACAATTGCCTAGGGTAAGATAGAAAAAAAAGGGAAAAAAGGAGGTCTTTATGAATCTATAAGATGTAACTTCTATCAGCATGCCTAATATGTCTATATATTCATGTGTTGTGTGCAAAATATTTCACTACAAAAAATATATAAAAGCATTCTAATTAATTGGCTTAAAAAAATAAAAGCACTTAAATCAGATACTAAAAAAAAGACTAGTCAAATGCTTTTCAAGTTGACGTGACTTAAGTAAAATCTTTAATAAATAAGTTAGCTTTAAAAATATTTAGTAAAATAATATTAGAAATGTCTTAAGAATTTGCCAGTATACATTTCTGTTTACATTTATTAATCAAGCAATTTCATACTTATCCCTGACAAGTACTACAAGTTGCTTATCTTCTGGAAACTTATCTGCTCAAAATGCATAGGATTACAAAACTTATCTGCTCAAAAGGCATAGGGGTTACAAAACCATAAACCCAGCCCAAAACAGAATGATCTTTGCTTGTGTAATCTTTAATAAATAAGACATTGATATTGATTTAATAAAAATAGCTACATCTTAAATTTAGTAAGATTACCATAACATTAATCTTGTGGTCTAATCCACAGGCAGTAAGGCTTGCTATTGCCTTTGTTTCAAAGGTAAAACATGCACTAAGTTCCTCCCAAAGTTAGTTCAGCCTATGCCCAGAAATGGACAAGGACAGTTTGGAGGTTAAAAGAAGGAAAGAGGGATGTTCAGGACAAACAAGAAAGTCCAAGCGTGTCATGAATGGTCTGTGTGAGTACCAATAAAAGGATTTATATATTTTTAAAAACTTATATAATCAAATAGTCTATAATTAAAGAGAAACTATAATGGTCTTTCTAGAAATTGGGTTTGATGTAAAAAAAAACTTATATACTAAATAATTGGTTAGAAAAATGAAATTTTGTTAAGGGATTGACTGACTCTTAATAAATTATAAAAGATTTTAATTTTTTTAACCCAAGCTTCAACTTTTATTGCATCTCTCCGTTTTCAGTTTTCTCTCCCCTTTTAAAGGACACAAAATACTAATGCTCTCCCAAAACTCATTTTCAGCTTATATAAGTTTTGTTTTTCCTGGAGTTATGTTGCAGTGGCCTGATGCTGACTATGTTTTCCTAAAGTTCTAAAGGCAATGTTTTCTTCCAACATAATATTCTGTGCGGTGCAGAAGGTCTTTTCTCTTGCCTTTTGGTAACTGGCCTAACAGATTTTACATTTTATCAAAACAATTCATATGTCACTATAAGTTCTGGTTTGCTTAGAAATAACTGATATTTTTAAAAATTAATTAAGGTTATTACATCCATGTATCTTTCTGTGTGTGCTTTTAAAGTCCTTGTGACATTGAGTAACTGGGCTTTAATTTCTGGGTTCTAAAAAGGACACCAATTTCTGCCAAATCTTAAACACTGATGGCAGTTAAAGCTGCATCTTCAGGCCCGGTAGAAGATGCCGGTCAGAATGAACTATATTCCTAAGACACAGGGCCAGAAATTAAGGGTACTTAACTCCTCAAGGCCCAGGAACTATTGCAGAAGAGGTGGGTTTGTGAAATTGTGAGGGCCAATTTTTTAAAGATAAAATAGGTTCAGTTTCTCTATAAATTAATCATGAATGTCAAAGGCACACTGATGCAAGACCAGTATATGAGCCCTTGTGTCTGATTAACAAGATTTTTCTTGAAGCATTAACCAACTCCTTAATAAAGGTTATAAAGGTTATAAAAGCCATATAAAAGTTATATCTTATGGTCAAGATTAAAATTGATAGATTCTTTATATAACTTTGAAAAACAGATTTAATAGGCTTTATGCTATTTTTATTAGGGCTTATTGTTTGAAAATTAAGTCTACTCTCTCAAAGAATGAGGGTTTTCACCTTTTCTGAGATCCTTGAGTTATCACTTTGGTTAAATGAATAGCTTACTTTACAATGAATGACCTATGATTCTATTTTGTGATATCAAGTGATTTTTAAACCTTTAATATTTGACAAATTTTTCAAAATCAAATTATAATTATGTCTTTTTCTGATCTAATTAATTCTTTAAAATATTAGTTTCCCTAAAGTCTAAAAATGATATAATTTGGCTTTTTTGGTATAAAAATTATATAGAAAGCATGGTCAAATGTGAAAGTGTGTTTGGTTTTCTTTGGGCTGTAGTTGTATAAATATGTTATTGGTCTGTGTTCCAAAATCATGGGAAACTCCTATAAATCTGATATGACTTAATGTACATCATCAGTCATAATTATAATTATGTTAAATTATTGTGTGCCACAGAGGTAACAAATTTCCTTGTCAATAGTGTCTTTAACTGTGGCTGTCCTAAAACCTTTTGTCATCCACAAACAACTGTTGTCTTGTTTTGGTCCTCCTTAGAAGGTGGTTTTATAATCAGCTATAGAACTCTAACAGGTGTTCTTAAATGCAGGTTTCTGATCACTTTGGAGATTGTAACACTAGAATAGAGGAAAAACTTTCGGGACTCTCATGGAGAGCTGAAATGTTCATGAGTATCAAGCAGAACAGGAGGTAAACGCCTAAACTAAATTGGCAGAAGACTAAAGTAATCTTTTTTAACTTTTTGCTTAAAATGTTGCTGATCCTTTGTTTTGCGTTTCAGAGTCAAGAAAACTTTTCTTTTAAGCTATTTATAGCTTTTAGCAATTGAGTAAAATATACTCCTATGAACAAAATTTGGAGCATATTTATTTCTCTCTACCTAATTTCTCCAGAATTTGGAAACTATGTGTAGGTATTGTATTCTTAACTTATAACAATACAATTATTGGCATAATTGCAATAAGAATTTGTTCTCATTTGTAACAAGACATAATTGGAGAAACTGGTTATTTTACCAAGACTTTGGAATGATGTGTTTTCCTTTAAGGAATCAAACTTGACTTATGGAGCCAATAAAAGCCCTGTGGGAAAACTGGCCTCATACGTGTGTTTATACAGTCCCTGTACAGGGTTCCTGACCTGTGGTAAGTAAAGAATGTCACTTTCTGATAGGCCCAGGAGCCCCAAGTTTATCTTGGAACCTCAAGAGGTAAGGATCACCCAACTCATAGGTATTTGATAGCACAAACTTATGGCTGGGCTCCGCTTTAAAAAAGTCTTATCTGAGGTTCCTCCTATGGATTACAGTTCCAGTGAAGCCAATTTAAAAGCCTACGTAAAAAATAATTATTCTTGCTGCACTGTATACAAATTATTAGGCCAAGTATAATAAATCAAACTAGTCCTACCATAACTTGTCTTTAGCAAAAGTGGATAACTAAAGAGAGACACGTTATGTTTCAAAACTATAATACCCTGTTGTTAAATTATAGTCTTGCCTAATGTTTTTCAGTTTTTATTATTCTCTACAGTTTGGGCTGAATTCTAATTTTTCCTGCCTGCAAGTCTCTAAAATAATATTTTCTTTTTTTCTTCTTTCTCTTCCATTTTCCCATGTTTTCCTAATTTGAAATCATTGAAAACTAAGCTGTGCTTTTGTAAAGCCCTGCGAACTGAAGCTTGACAACTTAAACTTCAGAAGCAATAACAGCAACGCATTTACATACATAAGCCACTTTCATACCTGCCTACTGATGTATGGACTCCAGAGTAATGTGGCCTATATTAATTTTCCAGGATTATAATTTTGTTTGTGGTTGTTTTTCTCCCTTCCTTCCCTTATTTTCTCTTCACGGGACATGAGACTTTACAACCTGTTAAAAATGAGCTTTCCTAATACCTTGGGATCTACCTGTCTAAGAATAAACCATCCTAATCATGAAAGATCAGATGAAACCTGATACCAGAGACTCATTTTCTTCTAAAATGCTTCTCCAAAAGATTTTTGAAAAGAGAAGGGGGAAAATGTGAATGGAAAAGAAGTTGTGGGGTCCCCAAATCGCTAAGCTAAAGGGAAAAAGTCAAGTTGGGAACAGCATAGGGTCAATCTGCCTCCCATTCTATTAAAAGTCACCCTTCAGCTCACTGAGATAAATACACATCTAATTGCCTCCTTTGGAGGGGTTAATCAGAAACTCAAAAGAATGCAACCATTTGTCTCTTATCTACCTATGACTTGGAAGCCCCCTCCCTGGTTTGCTTTGAGTTGTCCTGCCTTTACAGACCGAACCCAATGTTGGTGTTGCATATGTTGACTGATGTCTCATGTCTCCCTAGAATGTATAAAACCAAACTGTGCTCTGACCACCTTGGACACATGTTGTTAGGACATATAACCTCTTGAATTGTGTCAAGGTCACATGTCTTCAATCTTGGCAAAATAAACTTTGTAATTAACTGAGACTTGTTTCAGATTTTCAGTGTTCACATCATCCATCAAATGGGGACGTTAATAAATTCCACTTCGTGGAGTAGTTGTAATGATTAAATGTAGTAATCTACGTGAATATACACTGTAAAGTGCTTTAAAATTATAAAAGTATTATATTTCTGGCCCAAACATTATTTCTGGGAGAAAGAGGAAATAAAACAAAATTTAGGCAAAAATTCCCATAGTTTAGAATTCTATAATACCATGACCAGATGGCAGTACAAATAACTAGGGTGTAATAGACAACTCCTGCAATAATAATACTGGGAAAAATCCTCAATTTTAGTGGCTTACCATAACAAACTTTATTTCTGTTTCCCACAGGTTTGTGGGTAGGCTGCAATTCAGCTCATCTTGACTAGGATTGGCTGTGCCAGGTTGGACTCTAGGCTTCACGTTCATATGTGTGATGTACAACTTCCACATTCTGAGATCAGAAGCTACTTGTGCAATGTCCTTCTCATGGTGGATGGCAGAATCGCAAGGGACCAAGCCAAACCATCTGAGGACATTTAAGCCTGCTGCTCATCCATAACTAATATTCCATTGTCTAAAGCAAGATGCATGGCCAAACCTTAAATCAATGGAGTAGGGAAATAAACCCCATCTCCTCTAATGGGACACACAACACAGTAAATGCATAGATATATAATTCTATTACAAGGAGGAAGTAAAGAGTTGGAAAAATCAATTCTATTTACAATATGGGAAATTTTCTTTTTTTAAAGACAAAAGAAACCTTACATCATCTCTGCCTCCGAGATACGACATACTATACATATATCAACAGTATGGGAACTTTTCTTACATCAAATTTGCATTAGCCAAAATCATAAAATAACTTTGTTTTCAACCCCCCATATATAAATGATTGTTGTTAAAATATTGGTGTGTTGTGTATGATAAGTACCCATAAATTATATTATTAAAAAATAGGATCAGACTTTGAAAGACCTTGAGAACCACAACAAGTCTAGCCTTGACCCAGGAATAACAGGAAGCTACTGAGGCTCCTTTAACTTTGTATTCAAAGATCCCAAAATGACCTTCCACCTGTGTCTCACTACAATGTTAGCTCAGGTGTACATGTCAACCAAATTTGTTTTATCCTCCTTGCCCACACCTAGTGGGGTTTTCAGTACACTAGTCAGAGATAGTTACATATCAAATTTTGCTGACTTATTTTAAAATTACGATCATTACTCATTGTATATATTTATCAAAACATCACACTGTACCCCATAAATATGTACAATTACTATGTGTCAAATAAAACAAAAATATTTTTAAAATTAAAGTTGTCATGCATGTTCACATACATGTCTTTGTAGAGACATATCCTTTCACTTACCTTGGATAAATATCTAGGAGTGAAATGGCTGTATCATATGAAACCTAAAATATTTGGAAACTCTAAGGATTTTCTGTCATTCCCAAAGTATTAGCATCAGAGGCCTTGTTCATAGGTGCAGAGGTAAGAGGCATTTAAACATCATGTATTTATAAGTAGAGGTTTGCCAGTGGTTGGGAAACAGTTCTTCATGAGTATTTCACATTCTGAGCAAAGGCATTGACAACTTTAGTTCTAAACTTTTTTCCAAGGATATCTGTATAATAGAGCCAGGACTAGAGTGAGGCAAACATGGCACCCAGGATTCAAAGCTTAAAGAGACATGGTGGCACAAAGAATAAAGAAAAGCAAGTGGGGTGACAGCCCACCCAGGAATGGCACGGAGCCCAAGGAACCCCCACCCCCAGCCAATGGAAGCAGTGAGTGATTGTGCAGTCCCACCCAGGAAACCACACTTCTCCCATGGATCTTTGCGACCAGCAGATCAGAAGATCCCCTCATAAGCCCATGTCACCAGGGCTTTGGGTCCAACAGAAGAATTGCGTGGTGGCCTGGCAAAGCAGCTGCTCAGGTACACACAGAGGCCCAGGAGTCTTGCATATTCCTGCCTTGGGATTCCTGACAAGGCAGGAGATCCATTACTACATATCCCTTGGAGGAGGGATGAATCCAGGGAGCCAAGAAGTGTCATTCTGCAGGCCCCACTTCCACGGTACCTCGTAAGTTAAGACCCACTGGCTTGGAATTCGAGCCAGCCAGCTGCCACAGGCTGGAGTCAGCCTGGTAAAAGAACTGAGTTCCCATGGGGAGGGGCAGCTACCAACTCTGCAGTTTGATCAACTCAGGTATTCCAGCCTGCCAGCTCTAGAGAGTCCAGATGGTCCAGATGAGGAAGGATTCCCCACAACACAGCACAGCTGTGCTACCAAAATGCAGCCAGACTGCTTCTTTAAGTGGGTCCTGATTTCATAACTCCTGACTAGGTGAGACCTCACAACAGGGGTCTCCAGGCACCTCCTACAGGCACAGTTCAGGCTGGCAACAGGTCAGTATCCACCCTGGGACAGAGCCTCCAGAGGAAGAAGCAGGCTGCCATCTTTGCTGTTTTGCACCCTTCACTGGTGATACCTCCAGGTACGGGAAAAAAAGATGCAACTAGGGTCTGGAGCAGACCCCCAGCAAAGACCCTCAGCAAACCACAGCACTCCTATGGAAGAGTGGCCTGACTGTTAAACAAACAGAAAACAACAATAAAAACGACAACATCCACAAAAAAGACCCCATAAAAACCCTATTCATAGGTCAGAAACCTCAAAGATCAAAGGTAGATAAGCCCACAAAGATGAGAAAAAATCAATGCGAAAATGCTGAAAACTCAAAAAGCCAGAGTGCCTCATCTCCTCCAAATGACTGCAACACCTCTCCAGCAAGGGCACGGAACTGGGCTGAGGCTGAGATGGCTGAATTGATGGAAGTAGGCTTCAGAAGGCGGGTAATAACAAACTTCACTGAGTTAATGGAGTCTGTTGTAACCCAATGCCAAGAAGCTAAGAATCATGATTAAACAATATAGGAACTGATAACCAGTTTAGAGAGAAACAAAACTGACCTAAAGAGCTGAAAAACATGAGAACTTCACAATGCAATCACAAGTATCAAAAGCAGGATAGACCAAGTGGAGGAAAGAATCTCAGAGTTTGAAGACAATCTTTATGAAATAAGACAGGCAGGTAAGAATAGAGAAAAAAGAATGAAAATGAACTAAACCTCTGAGAAATAAGGGATTATGTAAAAAGACTGAACCTACAACTGATTGGGGTACCCAAAAGGGATGGGGAGAATGGAACCAAGTTGTAAAACATACTTCAGGATATCATCCAGGAAAACTTCCCCAACCTAGCAAGACAGGCCAACATTCAAATTCAGGAACTGCAGAGAACCCCAGTAAGATATTTCATGAGATGATCAACTCCATAACACATTATCATCAGATTTTCCAAGGTCAAAATGAATGAAAAAACATTAAGGGTGGCCAGAAAGTCCAGGTCACCTACAAAGGAAACACATCAGATTAACAGGTGGCCTCTCAGCAGAAGCCCTACAAACCAGAAGAGATTGGGAGCCAATATTCAATATTCCTAAAGAAAATAATTTCCAACCCAGATTTTCATAGCTGGCCAATCTAAGCTTCATAAGCAAAGGAGAAATAAGATCCTTTTCAGACAAGCAAATGCTGAGGGAATTTGTCACTACCAGGCCTGCCTTGCAAGAGCTCCTGAAAGAAGCACTAAATATGGAAAGGAAAAACTATTACAAGCCACTAAAGAGGTACACTGAAGTACACAGATCAGTGACACTAAGAAGCAACCACATGAACAAGTCTGCAAAATAGCTAGCATGATGATGACAGGATCAAATTCACACATAACAATACTAGCCTTAAATGTAAATAGACTAAATGCCCTAATTAAAGGACACAGAATGGCAAGCTGGATAATGAGACAAGACCTATTGGCATGCTGTCTTCAAAAGACCCACCTCATGTGCAAAAGACACGCATAGCCTCAAAATAAAAGAGATGGATGAAAATTTACCAAGTAAATAGAAAATGGAAAAAAGCAGGAGTTGCAATCCTTATTTCTGACAAAACAGACTTGAAACCAATGAAGATCAAAAAGATAAAGAAGGATATTACATAATAATAAAGGGTTCAATTCAAAAAGGAGAGCTAACTATCCTAAACACATATACACTCAATACAGGAGCACTCAGATTCATAAAGCAAGTTCTTAGAAACCTACAGAGGCTTAGATTCCCACATAATAATAGTGGGATACTTTAACACCCCATTGATAATATTAAATCATCAAGACAGCAAATTAACAGACATTCAGGACCTAAACTCAGCTCTTGATCAAGCGGACCTGATAGATACCTACAGAACTCTCCACCCCAAAAACAACAGATACGTATTCTTCTCATTGCCACACGGCACTTACTCTAAAATTAATCACATAATTGAAAGTAAAACACTCCTTAGCAAATGCAAAAAACTGAAGTCATAACAAACAGTCAGTCTTTCAGACCACAGTGCAATCAAATTAGAGCTCAAGATTAAGAAATTCACTCAAAACCACACAACTACATGGAAATTTAACAACGTGTTCTTGAAACTACATGGAAATTGAACAACGTGCTCTTGAACTACTCTTGGGTAAATAATGAAATTAAAGTGAACATCAAGAAGTTATTTGAAACTAATGAGAACAAAGAGACAACATACAAGAATCTCTGGGACACAGCTAAAGCAGTGTTGAAGGAAATTTATAATACTAAATGCCTACATCAAAAAGCCAAAAGGATCTCAAATTAACACCCTAGCATCACAACTAAAAGAACTAGAGAACTAAGAGCAAAC